TGACCCATTTATTCAAATGTAAAAATGCAGAAAGTTTTCTGTGTTGGGTAGGTTAGGGAAAGGGGCTAGAAAATGTAATTAGCTCAGTATAAAAACAATAACGCCTAATATGGGAGGTCCACATAAGGATGTGTGTGAGAGAGAGAGAGAGAGAGAGAGAGAGAGAGAGAGAGAGAGAGAGAGAGAGAGAGAGAGAGAGAGAGAGAGACCGAAAATTAACCATGGTTGTATTATAGGCGTATTGAAGATTTGTGTAACCAAAGAAACTTTTTTTTTTTTGACAAGATGACTATGGTTGAAAATCTGTTTGTGTGTGATGTTCTGTCTTTGTCACATCATGGCACACCACATAGGAGCAAAACGGTTAAATCTAGGATTTTTGTCCTCACGTTTGTGGTCTCTCACATATTTTAAATCTTATAAGATTATACAAATCTTTTAGTGTGTACCCAGCATTACTACATGGTTTGAACCCTGTCCCTGAATACTGTTTCTGCCCACGAGGGGGCGTTGTTGGGTTGTGGAATAAATGCAAGGCTAGATTAAGAGTCCACGCGTGTTTGTGTGCTATTTACTCACGTAATACACTAGAGAACACTTGAGCTGAAAACCTCAACATTGCCAAAGACGACAAAACTAGAACTGAAAATAATTAAAGCTAAATTAAATTTCTAGTATTTTTGACAGAAAGGGTATATTTGAGATCGGCCTGTAATTGAATAATTCATAGGATCAAGTTGCGCTTTTTAGTAGAGGTTTAATAACAGCCAGCTTAAAGGTAGCCTAAATATCCTAATGACAAAGATGAATGAATGATTTTAAGAAAAGGATCTATGACTTCTGGAAGCATCTCTTTCAATAGCTTAGTCGGTATAGGGTCTAACATACGTTGTTGATTTAGATGATTTAACGAGTTTAGAAAATTCTTTCTCTCCTATAACAACGAATGAATGCAATTTTCCCCCAGGGACACTACAATGCACTGTCTGATGCGATTTATGAAGCTACAATATATCAACTTTGACAACACAGTGTTTAATTTTTTTTTTTTTTAATGCCGCGTTTTTTTTTACATTTCCTGAAAATGTAGCAGATTTGGTCGAGGTTTCTGACCGACAGCGGGTTGCCTGTCACAATATGAGGTAAATATGGCCCTGGGGGGAATTTTTCTTTTATATAGGCTATATAAAAGAAAAATTTCATGCCTTGCCTTGCCCTGCCCTGCCCTGCCACACACACCCTCATCATCACAGCCATCCACACTCATCCGAGGTGCTGAAAACCTCAACATTGCCAAAGGCTACAACAACTGAAAATTAAAGCTAAATTTAATAAATGTATTACATTTATTGTCTAACCAATTTAAGGAATATATATATATACATACAAATATATATATAAGCAATGTGGAAGCACACAGATTTAGAGGTTGAACAAAATTATAAACACCTATTTCTACAAAAGGCCAATTTCTCTCAAATATTGTTCACAAATCGGTCCCATAAATTTAGCTTCTGAAAGGGACACTCCTACAAATGCATATGCAATTAGGCTAAAGTCAGTAGCAAAAATACTCAGTCACTGCGTGTCTTTAGTAAACCCTGACAGCAGCTTTTTAACGCCAAAAGGTTTGCGCTAGGGCAAGATGTTAGAAAATTGATCTGCAGGAAAACCCGATGTTCTATTCAATGAATATTACAGGTTAAATAAGTCAAGTTGATCTCTATTGAAAGTTACTGTTAAAAGGCATCGATTCAAAAAAAAAAAATTTAAGCAAAACAAAAAAACAATAGTGACAGAAATGCAGTTACAATGGGGTGTATCTGTCAATGTATTTTCTTAGGCATAAAATAACTTGTGGGATGGATTTCACACCCATATGATTTATATACTGACATTATTTTGTATATTACAATGATTTTTATGGTTTTTTTTTAAACTCATTTCTGTCCAAGTAAAATCCTAATATTTAAAGGAGTGAACCTCCTCAGGTAAACATATGCATCTTTGCACATCGTAGTGCAATGGAATCACTAGACAAGAAAGAAAATAAATAATTAAACGAACATAATTGTACATTAACCAAATTAAATAAATTATTTGAAAAAAATATATATAATTGCTAAAATGAATATTGCTTTTATACAACAGTTCTAAAGTAGTAATATACCTAGATGTATTTGAGAAGATGAATAAACTAATTTAGCATAGAAGATTTTCTTTTTTTCATTTTAAATTACCACTGAATACATCTGGAAAAGCCATACATCCTTCAAATCTTTGTGTGACTGACAGGTGTTTAAAGGCAGTGATGCATTAAGCCATCAGTGGTCGCTGAGACGGATAGGCCTACTATAATAATGGTGGTGAGCAAGTTCTCCATAACTGTGTTGGGATCATGTTTCAGAATAAATAGCTAAAGGCACCCGCTCTGGAACAATAGCTGCATGTCAGCAAGGTCATTTGTTTCCTTCTCATTGTTTTCTTTCCTTTGTGCTATTGCCACTGCGAACTAGGCTACTGTTTGAAATGTCACAATAAAGCTTACAAAGCTTTCCAGTCTCATAAATGTTTCTTTACTAATGGTTTCTCGCATTCACAGTGAAGTATAGTCATGTGTTTGTTGGTAGTGTAGACGGAATTCGGATCCGTGTTAACGGGGATCGTTTTGACAATGCTGTCGTATACGGAGAAAACTCAAAGGAAAAACTTCTCCGTTTTAAGCATATCGTTGTCTGAAAACTGAACACAATGGTGACAGTTATTGCTATTAGCTGCTATGCTGTCGCTATTTTAGTTTTTCTGGTGCTGCTGGCAAATGGAAATTCAGGATTATATTATAAAGGATTATCAGAATTTTTTAAATAATTAGAAATACTAATGAATACTTAAGTCAGTCAGGACATTATGATGTAGCTTTTTTAAAAGGTGTATAAGTTTAACTGCAATATATATTTGGTTTACACTTTATTTTGATAGTCCACTTTAGATATTCTACTAAGTAACTTTGCAACTACGTGTCAACTGACTCTAGAGTATAGTAGATGGTTAGTGTTAACAGACATTAAGCTGACAGTCTACTAATAGCCTACTCTGGTAGTTGACATTGTTGAAAAGTTACTTATAGTTAGAATGTCTAGTGACTATAAATGAAGTGTTATATTTGAATCATAATGACATACTGAGATATTAAACATGTGGTGCTGAGGTAAGTATTGTCATCATTTTCATTCAAACAAATAGAACGTATTCAGAATTAAAGAAAAGGTGACCTTTTGCCTGTTTTCACCAGCTAAATTATCTGACCCAGCGACACTCTACATGCCTGTTCCGCATGTTTCTGAAGTTGCCTGTGCAGGAAGTGATGGCGATGAAACTGACTGAACATGTAATACGCATGTGCATGACGTCATCGTCTTCACGTTTTTGCCGTTTACACACAGACCGTTTTTCAAAAACTTGCACTTTGAAACCCATTTTCCAAAGTTTGCATTTTCAGGCACCCAAACACTTTTCTGCCTTCCTGCAAACACCCGTGACAATAATTCAGTAGATGGAACTGACCATTAGAAACCATTTTCAATTTATTCATTCACTGAAGTGATTTTAAACAAGAATTTGCAACTTGACCTCATGAAAGTATTGTACTCATGTTTTATTTACGAACCTATGATTATCCATCTCTGTCCTGACGTGGAGATGAGGGATTCACGGAGCAAGGCGGATACGAGCGGCACGGTGGAACCACTGGACGAGCCGAGGGGTTGAAGGTAGACAGCAGAGGCGAGGCCGAGGAACGGAGGGAGAGGAGGCTGGGCAGGACCATCTGTGATGGAGACTTGGGTTGGGTTTGACCAGAGCTGGGTTTGACCAGTGACGACTTTCTAGAGCGCACGCGCAAGTTCCTTTTTGCAATCAGAACTCTAGAACCAACATGATGATGTGATATGAGGTTTAGGAAATCAAAAAGTTTTTGAATACTGCCATTATAGCCACAAAAAAGTACCATAGTGCCAAATCCCAAAAAGAAATGTTCTCTACTGGTTTTGCTTCAGGTCCCAGTACTGTGGTTGTTGCAATGACGATTCTTACAAAGAAGATGAGTGGCACATACAAAATCTTTAATTAATCCACAAGGAAATATGCCAAAGAACACTGGGAAATTATAACACAACCACACACTCATTAATGAGAACTGACAAACAGACAGAAACTCAAATAGAGTGAGACAACAAGCCAAACTAAACGATGAACACCTGAACTGAATTAATCAAACAATGTTTAACCACGGTAACAGAACAGAAGGGAACAGAACCAATAAGCTTGTGACAATCACACAGTATCAAAACTGCTCTATTATTCTACAAAAGGAAAATATGACCATAAATGCATAGACAATAAACATTTTCAACACAAAATACAGTAAATAAGCAAATAAGTGTTGTTTTTAACCTAAAACACTGCTCTATATATTGATTTACTCTTAGGCACATTCACAAATGACAGATGGATTTGAGTTTGATTGAACACACTGTCTTTTTTTATAACAGCAATTTTATATGGGAAGGCATCAAATTATATAGAAAACTATATAAAACTACATTTGACTATAATCAAAAATAAAGTTACAGTTTATCATTTGCATTTAGCATTGTTTTGCCCTGCTGTCCAAAGAGAACAGACATGGAATCCATTTTTGGGTCACGGCCCATCAGGAACTATTTTAAGAGGGTATATCAGCGTGTGGATGATAAATATCAATGGAGTCAATATTGTGTTTGATTGTGTGTGGGTTTATGAACTCAACTGCAGTTCAAAGAAAAGTCATCATGTATTCTTACGTATTGCTGTATTGTTACAGCTTTGCAGTTGGTGATATTTCATTTCTAGAGCACTGCCAAGGCATTCCTGGCGACAGAAACTATATCTGCCAGCCAGTGGCGGCTGGGCTATAAAATCCCTTTGTCTCAACACCCTGTTGTTCTGCCTTCTCTCCGTGGCCATCAACCAGATAGATACCAGGTACAGCATCCATGCTTACTTTAAAGAATTGACTTTGCCTTGAGAACATTTTCAGTTTATTGCTTTCCTTATTTTGTAAGTTTCATCTGAAACCTCTTGAATTTCTTTTTTAGTTGTTCAGCAAGACTTCACAATGGGCGAGTAAGTACAAGTCTTTTTTCTTCTTCCAAAGGTTATTCATTATTTAGCATGTTAACGTAAAGAATTTCATTCTTTTCCATGTAAAGTATGTGATACTGGTGCTACCAGTCACATTTATTTTTCATTTTAGTGAATATTTCAGAGTTCCTATCGAACATTTCCTCCAATGTTGGCCAGGAAAAAGATATACATTGATATTTTGTGACCACAAGGTTAATTTGTCAGTCCACATGTGCTTGAGATTCCACAACAAAGACATTTCCTATTTCAAAATGTGACTGGAGATGACATGTCTGGCATGGAACTGAACAAGCCACTTAAAGTGCATTATTTAGTGATCAATAAATGTTTCGAATTACTTCAGTCAAACAGTTTGATTACTCAAAATGCTTTAATAAATGCATACTGATGATTGTTTCCCTTTTTTTGTTTCTTAACAAACGATACTGGCAGTCAGGTAAGCATTTGTTTTCCATACTGTTTTCCACATAAATGTTATTGCTTTTAGTATTTAGATAAATATCAAATTAATATGCTTGCTTTCAAATGTAAACTATGTTGCCTCATTTATATTGTCATATAGCAGATACGAAGGCCTGGAAATCCAAAAATGGACATCAAAGTACGTCTTGATTATTTTAAAAATCATGCCATGCCAATCAACATTTTATCAATACCTCATTTCCCTTACCTTTTTTTTTTTAACAGCCTAAGTCAAAGATTTCAGCATCAAGGAAACTTTCTCTAAAGGTTAGATTTATTTTCATAACTTATTTCCTACTTTGTTCTGAAATTGTTATTAAAGCTCCTCTTCCATCTTCAATCAGATAATGCTTCTTAACAGAGCAATGGAGGATTTGGAAAACGAGAAACAGGACAGGGATGAAGAGAAAAATCGCTACCTCACAGAAAAACACCCTTCTTTGCAGTTTTCTGGACTCTCTCTGGAGGAGTTACAGGTGATGCATTCAGTCAGACAGACATAGTCAGTTGAAGACAAAACATGCTGTTTAGCTTCATTCAATATTTCTTAAACCAGTTGTATTTACTAATGTTTTATATTCATCTTCAGAATCTGTGTAAGCAGCTCTACGCAAAAATCGATGTAGTAGATGCGGAGAGGTACGGCTATGAGGATAAAGTCATCAAGCACAACAAAGATGTAAGTCTAAACCTAGTCTACATTTCATGGTGAGGCCAATGCATGATATTGGTTTGAGGTATTGGCCCCAAATGGGTTTGTCCATGGGTTCCATGCCAGCCCTATCTGAAAAAGCAACCCGATCTCACGACCAATTCGTCCGAATTTGACGAGTGATTAAAAGATGGCTAATTCGTAACAATTCGTACGACCTCACTCGTACGAATTAGTACGATTTTTGCTAAATCGTACATATTTGACGAGTTGCCCAATTCGTATGAATTCGTACGAATGACCTACCCCTGACCCCGCCCCTAAACCTAGCCATCACGTGGGTTTAGACAAATCGTACAAATTCGTACGAGTGAGGTCGTACGAATTCGTACGAATTAGCCATCTTTTAATCACTGGTCAAATTCGGACGAATTGGTCGTGAGATAGTGTTGGAAAAAGTCCATATGAATCTCATGTAGAATCTAACTGGGGCAAATGCAGATAGGACCAACACGGAATCACAAACACACCAGAACCAGCTTATCTTGAGGATTACTAAAATCAGGGGAACTTACGAAGATATTGGACACTGAGGGCCAGAGTTACCCACCCCTGACTATTCTCTATAGACCAGAGGTCTCCAAGGAGGTCCGCAGACCTGCACAGTTTATCTCGAATTAAACAAACCTGAACCAGCGAATCAAAGTATTCGAGAGCTATAAACTTCCAGGATTGTGTATTAAAGCATTTTTTCCCAACACATTTTCAAACTCTTCTAAATCAAACACACCTAAATCAACTCAACAGTTTATTAGCGGAGACTCTAAGATCTAGAATGGATGTGTCAGATAAGGGAGACATAAAAAAAAAAAAAGTACTTTTGGGGTATCTCTCCAGGAACAGGGCTAGGAAACTCTCTGGGTGCTAAACACTGCTGTGGTCCTCCAGGAAAAATGGATTATAGACAACTGGTATATAGACATATCAGTATCCTAGACAGGTCTAGCCTCTGTGACAGCTGCCGTTGACGGGCAACAGTAACGTTAGACACAGTATGAAAGACTAACAGAATTGTCAGGACTGTCAAGACCAACAGGACAGAAACGAGACTGACAGCGAAGGTCAATAAACACTTTGGATCCAAGGAAGCGCAGACTGAGAGCAGAGTGCGACTACCAATTGCTGATGCCGTACAATCACCATATAGAGCAAGAAAACAAAAACAAACAGGACAAAAGTGAACTCAAGTCCAGACAATGGGTTGCATACGTCTGAGGGTGTATTAACCAACGAACTGCCATTGAGATCTAAGGGATAGCATTCTCTAGGTATTATGCACATCCTTGGTAATGGAAATGTTGTATTCCCTTGATTAGATCAATGAACTTAAGCTGAAAGTTCAGGATCTAGGGGGGAAGTTCAAGAAACCCGCCCTGAGGAAGGTGCGCGTGTCTGCGGATGAGATGATGAGGGCTTTGCTGGGCTCCAAACACAAAGGCTCCATGGACCTCCGTGCAAATCTGAAGTCGGTCAAGAAGGAGGATATAAAGCAAGAAAAGGTAAGGCGATAAACATAAAACGTATACCGAAATTAGCTAATACGAACAACTATAGATTTTAAGCAAACGTCATCTTGTTTACATGTTGTTTTTTGATGTTGTGTTTTTTCTAGTTTTCTAGAGTCCAAATTATTGTAGTTTTTATTTCAATTTTACAATCCAATGCTTCTTTCTGTCAAATAGGTCTTGACCAGTGAAGTAGGTGACTGGCGTAAGAATGTGGAAGCCATGTCTGGCATGGAGGGAAGAAAGAAGATGTTCGATGCTTAAAAGACGTCTAATTGCTGTCCAAACACAGCTCTAGAGTATAGGCTAAAACGAGGCACAATTTGGGATGTCAGTGAAAATGTAATAGAGGTCTAACCATAGCCCAAGAATAGATGCACAGGCTACGCATTAAACATGTCAAAGAAATGAAACCACGCACCTTGTAATCACTGTTGACTTTGCTTACATGATGGAATATCATACATCTCGCAAGGTATTTTGGCTAAAAGGACATGTAACCAAATTCAAGGTTATTTTGGCTAGAAGTGGGTTACTCATAGCTGGACTATATCGGGTCTATAGTTAACTGAGATGGTGAAATGACGGCTATTGCTTGCTGTGTTATGTTGATCCAAACCCGAATTATGGTCTTATTTCTGTGTAACAAAAGGGGAATTTAGAAGAATGCTAACACGGCTATTTTCAATTTAATGACATGGGGCAAGCTTAAAAAATATGATTTTCTTTTAAAAATATGATTGACATCCCTTCTCTAAAGAGTTGAAAGAGACCTGATCTATGCCTTTGTAGATTCTGGTGTTTTTGAGACCTATATAGTCTGCATCCTATATTCTATATAGTCTGCCATAATTTCATTCATTATCAATGCATGCATGATGAATATAAATATATATATATAAAAAAACTCAGTATAAGTTACACTGGGATATATGTGTGTTTTTGTGTGTTACATTGAAGTCTTAAATTGGCATTAAAAGTTGCAGAATTGGCTTAAAGGAGAACTCCGGCGCAAAATGAACCTTTGGTCTAATTACACATTGTTACCTAGTCAACCGTTATCTGAGATTTGTTTTCATGATTATCGAATGTAAATAGTTTTATCTCTAAAAACAGTTTAGCCTATGAAGCTAGTATAACGATAGTATATTGGGCATACTGTAATGACAAATAAAAATCGCTTGTTAATACCACTAACAAGGCTGAAAATAGCCCCACACTAGCACGGTAGCATAATGAGGGTCCCTACCTTCAAACCGAAGCATTGAGAACTTTGTCAGTGTCCAGACAGTTTAATAAGAAGATATTTTAAACATACAGTCAACTTCGCGTATACAGGCAGAAGCCATCTTTGAAATACAGTCTTTACCAGTCGATCTACGAACGCCGATCCAAGCCTGCTGTTCGCGCTCACCTTATCACAACTTATAGCTCGTTCACATCTCACCAGCGCACTTGGATCGGCGTTCGTAGATCGACTGGTAAAGGCTGTATTTCAAAGATGGCTTCTGCCTGTATACGCGAAGTTGACTGTATGTTTAAAATATCTTCTTATTAAACTATCTGTACACTTACAAAGTTCTCAATGCTTCGGTTTGAAGGTAGGGACCCTCATTATGCTACCGTGTTAGTGTGGGTCTATTTTCAGCCTTGTTAGTGGTATTAACAGGCGATTTTTATTTGTCATTACACTAAGCCCAATATACTAGCGTTATACTAGCTTTATAGGCTAAACTGTTTTTAGAGATAAAACTATTTACATTCGATAATCATGAAAACAAATCTCAGATAACGGTTGACTAGGTAACAATGTGTAATTAGACCAAAGGTTCATTTTGCGCCGGAGTTCTCCTTTAAACTCGTTTCCCCCCCTATTATTTTAGCAGTATTCAACTAATTTTGCTAAAGGTTCAACATTTTTAATAGCATTAAAATGTATGGAAATGCAGACACAATGGAATATGTAATGTAACTAATATTTGAACAGTAAAACATCTTTCTTTACACTTTTTAGATGTACTCTTCAATGTATTTATCCATGATTAATGATACACAACTGGTGCTTAAAGATGACAAATGATTATTTGTTTTGTTCAGTCAGTTACAATATGATATGATTCATTATCCATTCTTACTTTCTGACGTAAATATGATATTTCACTATGGTGAAGCTGATAAGACCAGCTAAGCTAGCGGGTTAGGTGACGGGCCATCTTCCAAGCAGACAGTAGTAAATAAAGAGGTCAAAGCTGGCCATGGTTTCAGTACAGCACAGTTCATGCTGTATTTTTAGTTCTGTTGTACCCCATATCTAATCTGACTCGACCTTGAAGAGATGACCATTAGAAAGTGCACACGTCATTCATTGGGAACCTAAAGCATGCAGGACAAGAAAGCTTTCCTGTTGTCACCTCGTTCACTCCAGCAACACAGGAATTTCAGACATGGTTGCCTGCGTAAACAGTGAGGAAAACAAACAATGACAAAAATATTCTTGATAACACTTTATTTCGATGGTCCCTTTTGAACATTATTCTCACTTTAAGTAACTCTGAAACACACTCTCATTAGAGTATTAGTAGACTGATTGCTTAAAGGAATAGTTCACTTAAAAATGAAAATTCTGTCATCATTTACCGACAAGTTGTAACAAACCTGTATGAGTTTCTTTCTTCTGCCGAACACAAAAGAAGATATTTTGAAGAATGTCTGTAACCAAACAGTTGATGTATACCCCATTGACTTCCATTGTATTTTTTTTTTTTCTTATATGGAACTCAATGGGGTATACATCAACTGTCCGGTAACCAACATTCTTCAAAATATCTTCTTTTGTGTTCAGCAGAAGAAAGAAACTCATACGGGTTTGAAACAACTTGAGGGTGAGTAAATGATGACAGAATTGTAATTTTTAAGTGAACTATTCCTTTAATATCTGCTAACTCTTTATTGTGATAGTCCCCGAACAGACATTCATCTAACTATAAGTAACTTTGCAACATGCCAACTTATTCTAATACTCTATAACACTGTAATGACAGTTAGTAGACATGTAGGTGCAACGTTACATAGTGTCAACAGAATATTTTAAAGGGACCATCAAAATAAAGTAAAACCGAATTCAGTGTGGACTCCATTTGCTGATTTTAATTCCACATTCTTGCAAATATCAACTGAAAAAGTGTTGCCGCTCAATCCTTTATTTTTCTTATCATAGTCACAAATGATAGTTTTCACATAATTCAATTATTTTAACTTCAGTCGATATTTCTGTAGCCTTGTGATAAGCAGGGTAATATACATAGTCAGTATATTCACGGTAATCATGCAAAGTTTTTTTTGCTGTTTTTGTGTTTTAAATGCTATTGACACAATGCCATTATTGTCTTTTTTAGAGCTGAATTGAATTCGGTTTGCATCATTGATCATTATCGTCCTGTTTATGTAAAGCTGCTTTGAAACAGTATAAAGCCCTAAATGTGACTTCATCGTTTTTCTTTACAGGTGTGAGTTGTCCATATTTGCACGTTACACATTCCCACTGAGATTAAAACATAATGCAGTTTGTCTTTTGCATAACGCATGGAAATAAAATACTTGTTATTAATTGATTGACTAATGCTAGAGCTAAAGTAACTAAATGCTAGAGCTAAAGTAACTGAATTGCAACTGGATACTAAAATTCTTCGGTAGTAAGTTGAGAGGATAGCGACTAAAGTTGGCATCATCTAAAGTGGCTCACACTATATTTTTAGACTATTTGTTCATTGCAACTAATCTCACTTGAGCTTGAAGAACATTGAAGCACACGGTGAACTCAAAGGCACAAGAGACAAAGACTGTGGGTCTTCATACATTAAATATACACTACTATTCAACAATTTGGGGTCAGTAGATTGCAGTAAGGATGCATTAAATTGATCAAGTGACAGTAAAGACATTTATAAAGATTTCTATTTCAAATAAAAACTGTTCTTTCCAACTTTCTATTCATTAAAGAATCCTGAAAATAATGAATAATCCATTAATAATAAGAAGAAATGTTTCTTGAGCACCAAATCAGCATATTATTATTGCATATTTATTGAAGAATCATGTGACACTGAAGACTGAATATTCAGCGTTGCCATCACAGGAATAAATTACATTTAGAAAAATATTAAAATAGAAAGCAGTTATTTTAAGTTGTAATAATATTTCACAATATGGTAACACTTTACTTGAAGGGGTGTGCATAAGACATGGCACCTTCATAATAATGGCATGACGTCATGAATATGAGGGAGGTTTTATGCATGTTTATGACAACTGTCATTAATTGTCATTCGCTCAATAATGACATTTTGAATGCAAATATGACATTGTTTGAGATGTCTTTGTTATGAAAACTTGACATAAACCAATACATCATAAACTGTCAAGTGTCGGTAACGCTTCCTTTTACAGTACAGTACTTACAGTGTATTTACCTAGAAAGTTCTGGCTACTATAAGGTAAGTACATGGGTTAGGGGTAGGTTCAGGGTTAGTACCTAGTTATTACCCAGTAATTATAAATACTATAAGTACATACATAGTAAGTATATGGGTAACAGGACTGTAAAAGGAAGCGTTACCCAAGTGTCTTGGTAATGACAACTTGACAAGACAACACAACCTGTCATAAACATGACATAGGAGATTAATTATCAAACTTAAGAAACCACTTAGCTTTATGGGTTAACAAACATTACATTAAAAACTGTCATGTGGTTGGTTTTGACATTGGCTGTCATGCCAGTCGTATGCACACACCTTCAAGTAAAGTGTTACTCTTGGCCAGTAGCTAAACATATAAAAAACAAAACACTTTTGAGTGTGCAGAGCAAGCTGAATAAATAATAGATGATTGTTTGTATATGTTTGTATATGCTTCCCCCCCCAAGTATGAGTAGGACTTTTTTTAATTTTTTTTTTTTTTTTTAATTAAACACTTATTCAAACTCAATCAAAATCTTACAACTTACTTTAAAAGGCCCATTCTGCTTGTAAAGCATGCCATCCAAGCAACTGTAGGTATGTGTGCATCCCCCCTCCCCCCCAAATCAGCACAAGTCCCACCCAAAACCAGTTCTAAAGATGTAATTGTCATGTCAATCACATTGCTCACTGCCTACATAATGCTGAAACAAATACTAACCTTTAAGCTACACTTCTAGTATAACAATGGTAGCACATCCTGATATAGCAATTATACTTTCTGTCTTGATCGATTACCGTAATCCATGATTTTTATGAGCTCTGCGTTGAATCCATGAAGTCTGAGCATTTCTTGACAGGTTACTGCATGATTGAGTTGACAAATGATACCAGCTGTGGGGCGAGGTTTCTGCTTAACTGGTTTAAAAAATAAAAAAAAATTCATTCGTATTTAGCCTGGATTATTGTTTACCCACATTCCACGTTTGGAGTGGAACTGATGGAAAAAGTTTCTCAGGTGGAGTCGTTCCACCTCTAACCCATTGCCTAACACTCTAAAAGAGAAAAATAAGAGGTTTAAAGATATATTTTAGGATAATATAATTATTATTATTTTTTTAATTAAAGGTGCACTCAGTAATTTAAAACAAAAAATGTTTTTGTCGCATGTAACACCTATGGCGTGGATGGATGTTTATTGCCTGTTTAGTTTATTAGCCACTTCACAGTGAAGCTGTTTGTTGTTTCTTGTTTTTCAGCACACATCAGTCTTACAGTCATATACTACAATACTCAAGGAGTTTTTGCATATTATTGACACTTGTGTATTTAGTATTTTTTATTTTTATTTTTTTTTGTTATACACTTGTTTGCTTGTTTCAGCACTTGTGTCAGTATTTGTTTTGGTTTTTTTTTTGTTATACACTTGTTTGCTTGTTTGTGCTTTGTAAAGTGCCTTGAGCACTGTTTAAATATGTATATAAAAAGTAAACATAATATAATTATTATTATTTTAGCAGTAGTACTAGTAACAAGCAATTGTATGACATGGTTTTTTGTATGAAAAATTACTGAGTGCACAGGCGTAATCAACGAAACACTAGGAATTTTTTAAAAAGACAATAGGCTTTCATTACCTGTCTAATAACTCCCAGTCTTCACCCCCCCATTTGTCTGTGAATTCTCTGGTGTTCATGCCACCAATACGGTCCATGTCTGACTTGTAGATTCCCATCAAACCATAACCAGCAATCTCCCAAAGACCTGTGGAAGAGCAGAGATATTTGAGCTTACTCAAACAATGGCAAATTTAAAAACAAATAAAGAGTACATTAGCATTGGTAGTATGAATTTGCATATCCTGAAGGAATATTTGCCAGCAATGTTTTAATGTGTTAATGTTTTAGATAATCTTAGGTTTTGGTTTGGCATAAGAGCCACTTTAAAGAGTACCGGTACCATTTGGGGCTCTTGGTGAAGCACCACAATCCAACCTCAACACCACTGGAGCATAAACCATCTTTCCCTCGATACAGTGTCTTCGTATACTGTTTATTATATTCACCGGATAGTAGAGGTGCAGGTCACACAGGAACAAAATACTGTGCTCATCCTGAGGAGGAAGGACCAAAATTAAAACTTTCCATTCATTCAAAAAAGTAGCTTGACAGGAGAAAGAAATCGGAAACACGAAGAGCTTCGATTGTTAAAATGAGGTTACCTACTTCAACAAGATCGATTCCAGCTTGAAGGCCAGCAGATCTTTGAAAATTACCCTCCATCCTCTTAAACTTGTAACTGTATAATTTGAAGTGTGAATGTTGACACAATTAGCCATTGATATTGCGCACTTAAAAACACACTCACGTGTACAAAAAAAGTTTAAAACAAAGTATTTTACCTTGGTAGTTTTGCCTTTTTGAGTCTTTTCTCAATATCCATGTCAGAGCTGTTGTAGTCTATAATTATTACATTAAAGTTTTTGTCCCCAGTTGCTCTGTACACTTTTTCCATTTCCCTGATAAACTGTATGATCCATCTGGCTTGATCTTTCACTGTTTGGAGAAAAATGAAGCTTGAAAACACAGTATTTGAACACATACATGGACAATATCTGATGATGCAAATCAAAGTATTGTTGTATTCAGTTTATTTCGATAGTTCATTTTAGACATTCTACTAACTATAAGTAACTTCATAAGTAACTACATGTCAACTAGCAGTCATTAGAGTATTAGTAGACTGTCTGCTAACACTTTATTTTGATGCTCCCCAACAGACATTATACTGACTAAAGCACCTTTTTACTACTTATTCTACGAATCCAAACCCTAACACCTGACCTTAACCTAACAGTCTACTAACAATCTACTCATCCTCTGAGAGTTGGTTGACATATAGTTGCAAAGGTACTTATGGTAAGTAGAATGTCTAAGGTGGACCTTTAGAATTTTATTTATTTTTTTGACTATAGGAAGAAACTTTCACATTGTTGTCATTCTTGTAGTTACAAGGTAACTGGAACACAGTATGCTCATTACATTAATAATTTCAGAGAGGTGTTTTTGGAAACGAAATTTCACATAGAATAAACAGAATTTACTTCTGTTTATTAGTACCTTAAGGAAACATATTACTTTCTTAAGTAATATTATGCACCCTTCGAGGGTAGATATATACAGCAATTTTAAATGTTGTTATTGTTTTTCATTCAGTTATTGAATTTCCACTTATTTTACTGCTTGATATAGCTTAATCTTAATGCATTATTCTAATCGTGTATTTGGCTTTTTATAGGATCTATTTTGGTGTGTTGAGCATTTGGAGTCTAAAGACATGAATTGCTCCTAGTTGAATATCGAATTTGTAATTTTGTAAGTACTGTAATTCCAACAAGACTTGCAATACAGTTAAAAGACAGATATTGACACATCTAATTAGTTTTACCTGCCACAATTATATGAACAGTAGCAGATGGGTTCCAGTTGAATGCTTTTGGACTGCAGAGAAACATTTGTTCCGATGACTCTTCAGTTAGTGCATAAACGTAACGTGAAACAAGAACTTTCTGACCATGTGGGCCCACAAGTTCCAGTTCCACCAGATAACGACTGCCCACTCCCTTATCTTCACGCCTTACAACATTCACCACACGCAACAGGGAGTAATCACTGTGAAGATATAAAAACATAAAAAATAGCATAACTGGACACACCTACTTTGTGTGTGGTCATGTTTGAACAACAGAAATTGCCTCATTCTGGGTGTGGCTGAAAAGGCCAACCGTGCTAATTAGGAAGACATGTGTATTCTTTTATCAAGGGTAAACTGTAACTTAAATTATGCTTTAGTTGTCTAGAACAGGGACTGTCCCCAGCCCCGTCTCGTCTCGCCCTAACACTACACGTTTTGCATGTATCCTTAAGCAAACACACCTTATTCAGGTCATCAGCTCATTAGTAGAGAATCCGGACCTGAAATGGGTGTCAGACAAAGGAGACTTGCAAAACGTGTAGTGCAGTGCTGCAGGAATGTGGTTGGGAACCCCTGGTCTAGAACATATAACCATACAAAACTAACACATAAATAAAAAGTGACACAACTTGCCACACTTTGGGGGTAAGATGTGTCTTGTCAAGTTAAGGCATTGAGAAATGTGATTTACATTTGAAATGTTGATATTCAAAACATTAACATAAATGAATGTTGTAATTGAATGTTCTAAATAAAGAAAAGTTAAATTCTTGATAGAAAATTGAACTTAGGCTTTTCTTGAGTGAGGAAGGTTGAAAGAGGTAAAAACTGGACAAGCTCACCGTGTCTCTTCTCTTGAACGCAATGCTTTCAAAAAGGCTCTAACGATGTGCATGGCATGATCTTGGGACATCACAATGTTTCCAGCTGTTCTGCAGGAATTTGCCACAACGGTAGTTTGCTTTGAAGCAGCATTGAGGGGTTTCACGTCATAGACACGCTGCCAAAAAGGACCTTCACCTGAGTTTTTGTAAAATGTTTTAGCGTATACTGAATTCAGCAATTATTGTATTTGCACTGTATTAAGTAATTGGAGCCTACAATTGCAAAAAATAATGGTTCTTCAAGTGTTCTTTGAATCACTCTAGGTTAAAAAAAAGTACTGTCAAGTTCACAAAGAACTGTCTTCATAATAAGAACCATTTTTTTTTGTACTGTAGCTGCACTGTAGGGTAGCATTAATGATATGGACTCAAACCGAATGTCTCAAATGTCAGGGGTGCTTATAATGTGTTTTGTCAATACAAAAGGGTTTAAATGGCCAAATAGCAGCATTAAACCACATTGTCTCACATCTAGGAAACGTCAAACAAAAAGGATATTTTATGAGCAGAATCCTTCACAATGAGACAGGGATTTCATTTTTACTGTCACTTTAAGGTGTAAAATTCGTTTTTCTGTAACCTTTATTTTCAGGATTAATATTGGAATAAGAGTTTTACCTGTATCTATCTTTTGTGCATCAGGGTCTTCAACCTCAGTCAGGTACGCAGCAAGTCCTTTACTAAAAAAGGGAAGCATGTACAATAACAAGTAGCATACAGTTAGTTACAAACAAGAAATGCAGGTAAAACTGGTGAACTACTGTGAAGACTACAGAACAAGACAATATCAAGCAATACTGTATGATTCATACTCTGCCTGAAATGATGGATCTTGCGTGTAAAAGCACATCACATCATCGAGACCATGAGTTTGCCTTGTGTAGTCGTTTGGGTACACTGAAGAAAAATGAATCTATAAGAACAAGAAACATAGAAATACATAGGCTACTGAGTTACTAAAACAATCTTTGTCAAAGAACACACTTGTTTGTCCATGGTTTGAACGTTCTTGTTTCCATTAGTTTAATTTCAAGATCAAGGTGAATTCTCCATTGTTGCTTTTACAGCTACAAAGCTGGGAGCACTAAATGATATTCAAAGTCACATTGCGTGCTTTTAACATTAAATAAAGCACATAAACAGTACCTGAGATTATCATTGCCACACTTTGTGTTTGTTGTTCCAGCCGCGACGTTGCAGAAAAATAGAAACCATTTCTAAAATAGAATTGTCGCGTGTCGCTGGTTAGAACAAAAACTCTCATTAACATGGAAAAGATACCCTTTATCGCGCGTCGCGTACAAATATTTTATTGCTTATTAATCTAGGTCAAAGTTCATTTTTAAATATATTGTTCTTTGTTAAATCATGTTATCATGTTTATACTCGTATAGTTGTACTTAGAATATAATAAACAAAGATACTGACGTATCAGATCACTCAGGGGTATACCTTACTCTACATTTAGATAGATACACAAAGATACACTTTGGAGACTTAATACGAGGATCTTGAATGATTCAGCGATACAGAAGCAGATTGAGAATGAATTTGAAATGTATCTTCAATGCAATGATAATGGGGAAGTATCTCCAAGTACCCATGTGGGATGCCGCAAAGGCTGTAATTCGAGGCAGAAACACAGCAAACAGAAAGATCCACAGATACTGAGTCGGTTAAGAAAAGTTAAACAAGACCTAAATGGGATTTATGATGAGGAAATAGAGACAGATCAAAGTTGCTAAACAAAGGTATTATGAAACAGGCCCTAAAGCAATGACACTTCTATCCTGGAGGATAAAGAAACAGGCAAAAAATACAATTTATAAAATTAGAAACACTAAAAACCCAAAGGGTATGTAACAGATTAAAGGATATTAAAAAATCTTTTGAATTATACTACAAGGATCTATATACTCAACCAAATAGGGCCGATACTCCAACTATAAAAAGATTTTTGGATTCTTTAGATCTTCCATCAATAGGGGAACAACAGAATAAAATACTGCGGGCTGAAATAACAATAGAAGAATTAAAGTGTGCCATTTTTAGCTGAAAGCAAACAAGGCACCACAGATGGTTATCCGTCTGAATGGTACAAAATATTTTGATCCCAAGTAACACCCATTTTGCTTAACTGCTTTAATCATATATTAAGAATAGGTGAAACCCCTCGGTCATGGAGAGAAGCGGTAATTTCAGTTATACCAAAGGAAGGGAAAGATAAAAAGGAATGCAGCTCATATAGACCGATATCAGTCGATATAAATGATATAAATGATTTGCTTCAATCTTATCTAAGATATTAGAGGTTATTATCCCTGAGTTAGTGGATCTTGATCAAACTGGATTTATACAAAACAGGCAAACCCAGGAAAATATAAAGAGAGTATTGCAAGTAATGAGTCATGTTGTAACAGAAAATATATGCGCAATGTTGATGAGTCTAGATGCTGAGAAAGCATTAGACTCTGTTGGATGGGATTACTTGTATCAAGTATTGGCAAGATTCGGGTTTAATGATCATTTTATTCAATGCATTAAAGCATTATACTCCTCACCAGTAGCTAGGATAAAAATTAATGGTCACTTGTCTGAAACAATCCATTTGGAAAGAGGAACACGTCAGGGCTGCCCCTTAAGTCCGGCTCTGTTCGCCCTGTTCATTGAGCCTTTGGCCCAAGCAATAAGAGAGGATTCAGAGATAAAGGGGATCTTGATCAGAGGAGATGAACATAAGATCTGTATGTATGCAGATGATGTCCTATTGTTTCTGACTAATATAAAGTCGAGTATTCCTAAATTGATGACCCTTTTAAAAACATATAATTTACATTCTGGGTATAAAATAAATATACAAAAAACTCAAACCCTTATTTATAATTTTAGACCCAATCTGCATATAAGACGACAATATGATTTCAATTGGAAATCTCGGTCAATAAAATATTTGGGGATAACTGACAAAAGACATATCGAAACTCTTTGAAAGTAATTATGGCCATATTAATAAGGAGGTAAAATCTGATATTTCTAAATGGACCCTGCTCACATCAGATATGAGTAATCGAATAAAAATAATTAAAATGAACATGCTACCACGGATACTTTATCTTTTTCAATCACTGCCTCTGGAAGCATTGCAAAAACTATTTAATGGTATGATTTAATAAAGGTATGACTTCAAGGTGTGTCTGGAATGGTAGAAAACCTGAATAAAGTTTAAAACTTTGCAGTTGACAAAAGAAAAGGGAGGGAGAGCTCTACCATGTCTTCATGACTATTATTTTGCGGCTCAATTGAAACCCTTAGTAAATTGGTGTATACCAAGCTATGAATCAAGATGGAAAACCCTAGAAGTTTCACAGACAGATACACCTATACAGTCAATACTTGGGAATAAAAATCTAGCTGAAAGGAGCTATAACAGATTGAGTCATTGGACTGTTTTTTCATTGAGGGTATGGTTCAGAGTATTGAAGACATTGCAATGAAAGGATCAAACTGCAGTTTTAAGTTGGATAGCATTTGACCGGGGTTTTTGAGCTGGCTAGGGTAGACGAGAGATTTAAACAATGGGTTTGGAGAGGTATCACATCTTTCTGTTCAGTCATCTCTAATGGGAAATTACAGAGTTATCAGGCACTTTCAAATACATTTGGACTAGAAAAGCAGGATTTTTATAGATGTTTACAGGTCAGAGATTATTTTAACAAAAAACATTAAAAGTACATTGACGGAAGATCATAATTTAATTACAATATTCTCAAATGCGTACACAGTAGGAGATGACAAAAAGCTGGTTTCTAGATTGTATGGAAGTATACAAGCATCCAAGAACCATTCATCAATATACATTAAACAAAAATGGGAGAAAGAGTCTGGCTCACAAATAACAGATACAGACTGGACAGATATATGTGTGATACAGGCAAATACCACAAACTCAAGATCCTGGAGGGAATTTGGATGGAAGAATTTAGTAAGATTTTTTATAACTCCCAAATTAACAGCACTTCATACAGGCTCACAGAGCCGTGGCTTTTGCTGGAGGCAATGTGAAACCCCGATGGCTAATCATTATCACATTTTCTGGGCATGCCCAAAATTTTTATTATTTTGGCGAGAAGTAGTGGGTGAGATTGGGAAAATTATGGGAGTAGAGGTTGATTTTTCGTTCATTTAGGTAAAATACCAGGAAATGTTTTAGACAAGGATACATATTTATTAAAAATATTGTTAGCAAGCAGTAGGAAAGCAATAACCCGTAAATGGTTGCAGGTTGACCCTCCAACTAGGCAAGGCAAGGCAAGGCAAGTTTATATATATATCACATTTCAGCTAGCCCAGGGACGTGCTCATTCAGTAAATGCATAGCTAAACAGGATTTGAATGTGACTACTGTAGGAGCACATCTGATCTCCTCTGGAAGCTGGTTCCACAGGTTGAACAGGAGTGGTGCAAGAATTGAGCCTTGAGGGACTCCGCATGTCATGGATGTCCACTCAGACTTATGGTCTCCTATAATCACATAATAACCTCTCCCTTCTAAGTATGACCTGAACCATTTTAGGACTATCCAAGAAAGCCCCACCCAGTTTTCCAGCCTGTCAAGAAGTATGTCGTGATCGACAGTGTCAAATGCAGCACTGAGGTCGAGTAGTACCAGTACTGATAATTTGCCTGTATCAGTATTTAAGCGAATATCGTTTATTATCTTTATGAGCGCTGTCTCTGTGCTGTGATGCGATCGGAAACCAGATTGAAAATTGTCAAAGTATCCATTCAAGCTTAAGAATTTGTTCACCTGATTGAAGACAACTTTTTCAATGATTTCTTTTTCTGACCTAATTGCTATAGGTCTGAGCATTGTTAGGCTTCTTCTTGTTATGAGGCCCCTGCTTTTTAGTAGGCAGCATTGTTAAGTCGTTTGGCTCCCTTAAGCCTGCTTGGGTGCTGCTTTTATCGAAAATGCTCCTCAGTGGCAGGATTGAGTTGTTAGGTGCACTACGTTGTTAAGCTCTTTTGATAAAGACCTTCTCTTTTCTAAGATAATTATACATTTAGGCCTCTGCTCCCCCGGAGCTCTGCTCTTTTATGCAATTCCGAGTTGAAGGCTTTTTTTGAGCATCCTTGGAACTGCCTTGAATATAGAATGTAGTTAGGCCTCCTCTCATCTTAGAGTCAACATATTGTGGCCTCCGTTCTCGGAGCTAGAATTGGGTTGTAGCACTGAGTTGTAGGCTCTTTTCCTGAGCCGCCTCTGGTTCATCTGGTTTGGGAGTACTTTTCAACCATTGTTTGTTCGCTCCCCTGAGCTCCATCTGCTATAATAGTATCAAGTTGCTAGGCCTTCTTTAGGCCTCCCTGACAGACATTGGATGTAGCTAGGCCTCCTCTCTCTCTCTCGGCCAGGCAGTTTGCTAAGTAGTTAGGCTCTCTGTGAGCCTCCTTGGTCACTGCTCTTGAACTAGAGCGTTATTAGGCCTCCTCTCGCTATAGACAGGGTGCTTCTCAATATCCCTCCTTGTCTCCTCTCTCTTCCGTCCTCCATCCTATGACCCGGAAACCGATCAAGCTCAGCCATCTTGAAGGACATCTCAATTCTCTAATTGCACCGCGAGGAGTCGAGGTTCGAGGAGTGAGGAGGCTTCATGAGGAGTTATGAGTGAGGATACGCGGATGTATCCTTTGCGGAAGTGTTTTATCGACTAAACGTGACGCATGTATAAATTCTCCTCCCCCTTCACGTTGGCCACAATAATTTTAATTTATACTTTACCGTTGTAGTTTATATAAACCACACATCTCACATATTTCAACAGGGTATCTTGCTTTATTATTATGTATAACTAATTTCTTAAACAACCAAACTTCTACAGCATAAGGGCAGATCCTTTGAGCGCTGCTGATGACGCTGTGAAGTGACACTCGAGTGATCAAGTATTCCAATGTATAAAAAAGCTTTAGGCTTGTTTGAGATGCGCCTTGCCTCGCCTGAAATGTATGCGAGAGTAGGCAGCTGCAGTGAGAGGAGGAGTGAAAAAAGCGCAGGCAAGCCGGACAGTTCTCTCTTCTCGCAGTGGATCTGACACCTGTGAGATCAAAGATGGATATCGCGGGATTCACGGGATTTACGCTCGTGCACAGTGTTGCTAATAAACTGGATGTAATTTAAGCCATGTTGCTTTTATATGAAAACAAATATAATGAACAAGACAGCCAAATCATTTTTTTTCTTCAATACAGATGTGTTTTTTTATTGTTTTTTTTTTTCAATAAAAATAACATTGCATAACCCATAGAGATCGCACTGTCAGAGAGTTTGGGAATATTCACACATAACGTGTTCACATAAAACATGATATCAGAGTTTTAAAATTAAACATTTTAAAAGAGAGCAATACATCACGGTTGTTTAAACCAATCAGCATTAAGCTGTGTCGTCAGTAAGTCGTTTCCCATAATGCTGTTGATCAGCGCAGTCGGTGGAGAGCAACTGCGCTCGACTGCAGAATCTGACACGTGCACCTTGCGGTCGAGAGAGTTTTTTGATATATGTCAGCATGACATCAGAGCAAGTCGGACTGCACTCTGACACATTTCTAACCGGCATGCATCTCGCGCTGATCACTGGTGATCGGTTCTGCGCAGATTTTGCTCATCTCAAACAAGCCTTTTCATTCGATTCCTCCGTCCTCCTTTTCTTTCCTTGCAGCCTTCCCTCATATCCTACAGGGGGTGGAGCTGAGACGCGAGGAAAGGAAGCGAGGAAAGGTAATGAGGATGCACAAATAAGAATTGAGAAGCACCCACAGTCGTTCTATTAGAGGCCTCCGCTCTTCTGAGATCTGCCCATTATTGTGTCAGGTTGCTAGCCCTGTTATGTAGCTTCCTTGACAGGCGTAGGACGTATTGTATTTGTCCTATGACCTCAGCCCTAGGCTAAGTGGTTAGGATCTCTTTGAACCTCCTTGCTACTGTGGGCGTAGCTAGGACTCCTCTCACTAGGGAGAGTCATCTAACTGAGGCCTCCGCTTCCCATAGCTCTGCTACGACAGGGTTTTCGAGTTGTAGGCTCTCTGTGAGCCTTCTTGAGAGATGTCCTGAGCATGAGCCGTAGTTAGGTCTCCCCTCAATTTAGGGAGTTGAGTCCTCCACTTCTAGAACTCGGCCAGGCAGTTTGCTAAGTGGTTAGGCTCTCTGTGAGTCTCCTTGGCTACTGCAAGCATTGTTAGGCCTCCTCTCGCTAGAGATGGTTATCTTAGGCCTCCGCTCCCCAGAGCTCCACTAGGATAGCTTTTGTGAGTTGTAGGCTGTGAGCCACCTTACAAGATGTCCTGAGCGTGGAGTGTTTTTAGGTCTCCTCTCGATCTAGAGAGTCATCATACTGAGGCCTTCACTCCTAGAGCTCGGCTAGACGGTAGAGTAGTATGCTAAGTTGTTAGGCTCTCTGGGAGCCTCCTTGGCTACTGACATTAGTGTGGAGTGTTGCTAGGTCTTCCTCTCATTATGAGAGTCATTGTATTGAGGCCTCCACTCTGAAGAGCTTTGCGGGCCAGTTAGACTGAATTTATAGCCCTTTCTGAGCTTTAGAGGTTGCTAGGCCTCTTGTTGAGGGTTCCAGTCTTCAGGGATGTCTGAACAGAAGTTCTGAGTGTTAGGCTCTCTGTGAGCCTCTTTGGACGCTGGCCTTAATATGAACGGGTAGTTAGGCTTCCCCTCTTGAGACCCCTGTTCTTGAGAAGCTCCGGTCTATGACGATATTCCCTTTAAGATACCAAGCTCTTGAGCTTGGCTGTAAGGGGCCTTTTGGCTCAGGCTCTGACCGCAGGGCTATAATCGTGTTGCTGGTGTGCATCTTAGGGATGAGGACTCCTTTGAGTCCTTGACTTAGGTCATCCCTTCAGCATGGCAGCACGGTATTTTGTTACCCATAGCACCCTCTAGGGTTACCATTCGAAGGGGAACGTCTCAGGTTATGCATGTAACCATGGTTCCCTGAGAAGGGGGACGAGACACTGCGTCTCTGTGCTATATATAACATTAGCTATAATGTTAGCATGCTAAGGTTAGCATATGTTTATATTTCACATATAGAGGCCGTGGTTGTACTCTAGAACCCTCCGACACCACCCACAGATAAATAACAAAACAAAAAATATAGTGTTAAATTTTAGATGTCTGATACAGTTGTTATCGGTGCCAAAGAATCCATGGTTATAAAAGAACTGAGAAGTTTTTGTTAGAATCAGAGTTTAGTTTATGCAGAGATTAAAAATGTTTAACTCACCAAATTTACACCTTGATATCGTCCAATCTGTTCAGCAAGTATATAACTTGGTTTGTAATGGCATTGGGGAAACACGTCTTTCAGGTAGGATTCATCTAGCATTTTGTCTGGTTAACAGAAAGAGAACAGTTAAAATGTCATTCAGGGAATTGTAATCTTCAAATTTCCAAGTAAATTGGATGATAATGCTGACATTTATAGATGTGATCCCGTGGGTCTTCTCCGATATTTTCTCCTACAGGATGAGGTGACAAGGGAATCGGCTCAAGGAGTCTATCGTAACTTGCTTTTGTTTGAGGTATGTGCTCAATATTTCCCATTTGTAGGGAAGATTCATCTGACAAAGAAATGAGTGTACATGTTTTCCATAAGGAAAAAAATATATTAAAGGTTAGTTCACCCAAAAATGAAAATTCTGTTATTAATTACTCACCCTCATGTCGTTCCAGACCCATAATACTAATACTTTATTTATCTTCAGAACACAAATAAAAAAATTTAATGAAATCTGAGTGCTTTCTGTCCTTCCATTGACAGCTACGCAACTACCACTCTCAAGCCCCAGAAAAGTAGTGAAGACATAATGAAAGTAACCCATTGCGTCGCTCCATAAAATTAAGGTTAAACCACTAGAGTCACATGGATTACTTTAATGATGTCTTTACTACCTGGAGCTTGAAAGTGGTAGTCGCATAGACTGTCAATGTAGGGACAGAACGCTCTCTGATTTCATTAAAAAGATCTTCATTTGTGTTCCGAAGCACATAACATCACATCAACAAAATTTTGAAAAAACTCATCAGGCTCATAATTTTGTAATTTTGCAACAAACATACCTTCATATAATGATAAAAACTCAGAGGTTATCACAGAAAAAGTGCCATTGTCATGGTTTAAACTCCACTGCAGAAGAAAAACAGAATCTGAGATCAATGTACCATGTTAAGTTGATTGTACAAGCTAAACTTTTTTTGTAACACACACAAACAGTACATACCGCAATTTCCAGATGATCAATTCCGTCATTCTGTTTTAAAACAACTTCAAAAAAATATTTCATGTCTTTCACTAACCTAGGGAAGAAAGAGAGACGGGCATCAGTTGGGTTCTATACAGTCTTTTTTAATTAGTTTTTTGAAATATCCAAAAATAAATATCCCGTACAAGATAGGTTTGGATATCTGGGATGCAAATTTCCAATACTCGCCTGGAGCAGTCCATTCATTTCCTGTCTGATTCGTGAACAGAAACATGCCACAATCATAATTTGACACTCAAGTCACATTTTATGTCTGTATATAATAGTATATACCAAAATTTTAAACCAATTTGCATCTGCAAATACATTATGCAATAGCTTTTTTTCTATATATTTTTATGATATGTAGCATATTTAAGTATGTTTATATAACAGTATCATTAATAGAAATGGTGCTTGGATTTATATATGGTACAACCAATTATTAAACAATGAAATTAATCTTCCGAATTTGTAGTATTCATAAAACAGTACTTCAAGTGAAAAGTACCCATATGACCTGCTCCCGGTAAAATTCTGAATTGCGCATCTGATTGACACTTTACTATCCCATGAGGCCACGGGAGAGAATTTATGAATGGCAGTGAAGCGACACAACTGACAACGAAGGCCAAATGACAAAGCCAACATGGCAGATGTAGTACTTACAGATTTCATTCATTCTACAAACATTTATACTATATTGAACATAGTTTTTTAATGGTCACAAAGATAGTTCCTCATCAAATGTAGTACCTACTCAGACAGAATGCAAATCTGGACGCATCTGCTACTACACTAGGAGTACACTGAGATGAATGTCTTCCACAGCTGTACCTCATTCTTAGTAATCAGTAATGTATTTATTATGGTTCCCTTTTAAGTGGAACTCGATGCTGCTTCACGGTTTTGCATGAGCCGGTGTCTGAAGCATGTGTGGAAAATTCTTGATTGGCCAACAGCGTGGTCAGGGGACGTAACATCTTGCACGTCACTGAGACCATAAATATAAATGAACGAAACCAGCTTCTTTGTCTTCAGGAATCCCTTTCTTTGCGTGTATGTGGAAAGTACTGTGTGTTATTGGGGAGCAGACAGATTGGAGACTCAACCCAGAGGTGGTGGAGTTGATTTGGTATACAGCAGAGCGGAAGTGGACCTGTTCACCCCAGCAGTTGACCCACTATTCACTCTGGTTCGCCCACACATCTCCAGGTCCAATTGAGCTGGATGCCATGGTAAAGACACGGCCGAGGCTGCATTTGTATGCATTTTTCCCCAATTGCTCTGCTCCATGGAGTCCCAGTGAGGCTTTGTCTCCTCGAAAGCTCTCTTTTGGAGATTTCCTACCAGGAGGGAACACTGAGAGATGCCAGCTCATAGGTTCCGGTCTATCAACTGAGGTTGTTGAGACCAAGCTAAATGCTAGAGCTCCATCCATGAGGAAACTTTATGTGCTGAGGTGGTGTCTCTTGCATCATGGTGTACTCAGCACTACATTGACCCAGTTGGTTCAATGCTGGAGTTCTTGCAGGAGCATCTTCTGGCAGGATTATCACCTGGTACTCTTAAGGTGTGCCATTATGGAGTGTTCTGTGCTGCAGTGGGCTGTCCCTTTCTGTGGACGTTCATGGATTTTATTCTATATGGAACTTGCAAAGGGAGGATTCTAAGGAATATCCTGGAGGCTAACAGGTCTGTCCATATTCGTACTTCACAACCTAATTGCCTGAGTATCTTCCAGGCCAACTGATTCAAAATGTGTTCTCTGTGGATAAGTTTAGAGTTATGTCTTTATGTTAGGTTAAGTTCCTTTTCAGGCCTACAAGGTGCGCAGTATGCTTCACCACCAGGCACTGGGGGGACTACCATCATGGGGAAGTATTGTAAGATTGTGCCCATTCAGTCTAGACAATTTCAGTTACCTGTGAGATGCTCCATTTGGAGTGTACGTCTCTTGGCTTTTTCTAATTAATATGCTTTTATGTTTGTGTTGCGGCAGGCTGGTGCTTTCCACATGCATTCATGGATGTTTTTTTTTTAATTGACTGACATCTGGCCTTTACTCCTTTGGTTTAATCCGTGCCTTAGACCAAAAGGGTTTGTGCTTGTGCATACTTCAAAACCTTGTTGGTTGGGCAGTTTTTCAATATGGCGACCAGGGATGTAGTGGAGGCTAAACGCACGTAAACGCCGTTTGCGCACCTCCCAAAATTCGGAAATAGAGTTTACCCACCTCCAAAGTGCGTTTATCCACCTCTAAATTGCGTTTATCCACCTCTAAATAGCCAATAGTTCCTAAGCCATTTTAAATTAAGCTTATGTTGTTTTAGTTTCATATTGTCATTATTAGTTTCATAGGTTGTTAAAACTAAGACGAAGTCTTTCATATTGCGCTGCATTACTGTCAGTGCTGACCAATCTCTTGCCTAGCCAGCAGGAAGCAGCAGACTGCATCAAGATTCATCAGCCACTAGCCCAAACTAGCCTACATGTCTCATGTAATGATGAATGAATTGTAAAAATGGATATCCGGCAATTTTTTAAGCGCCGTCAAGACAGCAGCCCTCCTCCTGATGCCAGCAAACGCCCTCGGCTACAAGCCCAAAGTAAGTGAACTCGGAAAACAGTATTACAGGTTGAGGTTAATTTGTTGATTTATCTCGACAAAATGTATGGAAGGCAGTGGCCCATCTTACCGGATGACCACGTCGTGGTTCACCAGAATTTAAAGTTTACTTTTTTTTACCACTACACCACTGATGGAGACGTGGGTATTAACGTTCCCATAGCGTCAATGTCATGACAGAGTGTTGAGTTCAGCATGCTGACGTTACGTCACCTAACCACGCTGTTGGCCAATCAAGTTTGGCGTTTTCCACACGTGCTTCAGAAACTGGCTACCATAGTAGCCGGCTCCCATAGCGTCAACGTCTTGACGCAGCATCTCTTTCCCTATCAAGGAACTGAGTTGTAATTACATAATGTAATTGTTGTGCTTTTTGTCCTGTTTGGAACTTGACAACACATGGTCACTACCAACAGTGGTTAAATAGTTTATTAATCATTTACTTACACTTTCTAATTGCTCTTATGAACCACTGACAACTCCTAAACAACTGGTTTGTAAATAAGGCAATACTTAATTTACAATGGATAAATTGATCATTAATAAAGTATGAAAATACAATTATTAAACACATTATAGATATGCTTATAAATCAAGAATAAAGCATTCATAGTTGTATTTATAAACTACTTACTAATGTATATTAATGCTTTATAAATTATGAATTAACTGTTTACTAATGTTTAACTAATGATTAATAGCGTACAGTTATTATAAAGTGTTACCCAAACGGTTACTTTATGGAAAACAGCTGTGTGAAGATTCATCAAAAAGTCTCATATTCTGTTCCATGGGTTTGGAATGACATCAGGGTGAGTAAAGACAGAATCTTCTCCCACTAGTGTAATACACTGCATAATTTTATATTCAGTTCCTCACCCACTCACCCACTTGAATCTCTCACCCACTTGAATCATTCACACCAAAAATTACCTCACCAACATAGGCGAGAAGTTGAAGGTTTTCTGGATTTTCGTTTAAACTGAGCCAGAACTCAGAGTTATCATCAGAGGCAACAGCAAAAATAAATTCTTCTATAAACAGAAAAATATCAGTGTATTTGTTTATTTCCTCTATATGTGTGTAATTACATATAATATACAATAATATATATATAAAAAAAAAAACTTTTAGTTTCATGCTGGACCTACCAGTTTCTGAAGGATGAAGGTAGCCAAAGATTCTTAGACCATAATTGCTCGATTGAGGGGACACAGCAAGTCTGCTCACCGTAGTGCGCACCTTTACAAAACACAATGATATTATACACTGAGACTATCCTTGTTAATAGTATATAACTAAATGTGTGTAGAACTAACATTGGGAAATAGGGGATAGAGCAGGTTATTCTTAAGTTGATCAAGGGATCCGCCGCAACAGTCTTCAAAAACGTGCATATTCACTCGACCCTGAGGGGAAGATAAAAATGCACCATAAAAAAAGCAATCAAACTGTTGTCGTGAATAGGCACCGATAAAATGCGATAGTTGCAATTTATGTATCAGTGTCACCTCCTTGAACAGCAGCAGTCACTCTTAAAAATAAAGGATCAAAGTGGTTCTCAATCTTTTTAACTCAATTATCCTAATAGTCCAGCACAATGTAATGTTTCCTCCAGTATTTCTGCTGTAATTATGACAAAGACGCTTGTTTTCCAAAATTTTATTTAACAGAAATTGGGAGTGTTGACATTTTTACATGTTGATTGTTTTTAGCATTTCAACAAAGCTATATTATTTTAATAAATTAATGACATGGGCGTCAATTTCGGTGGGGACGGTGGGTTTCGTCATGAGTCATTTTGTACCCACCACTTTTTTTTGGAAAACCTCGAGCTCAATTTAGCCGTTCTGCTGCTGCGCTGGCTACACGCTTCTCTGTTCATAACACTGCAACAACTGTAACATTGGGATATGTTCAAGGTTGGGGGAGAGGTGGTTGGCACGCCAAATGGAACTCGTTACTTCGATTGGAAATCCCCCGTGTGGGAATTGTACATGATTGGGTGATGTCAGTCATCAAATAGCGTTCATCTGTGCCACACATATTTTTGCTTTTTCAATCTTGGCAAAATTTGTAGTGCAGAAGTTGTGTTGTGTGTAGATATGGTCAATTGTACTGGGACTGTACTGTACTTCAACACGTAGCCTATGGTAGGCCAGGCCTATTTTCCTTGGGACATTCTAAAACGCCTAACGTGAAAAAGCTTTACGTGGTTTAATGTACCTAAACAACGATCACCAAATTTCTCTTTCATATTGCTCATCTAAACCACTTAAAACTGTCAAAAAATCTAACCAGAAATTTGGTGATGATCACTGATCGTCGTTTAGGCACATTTAACCGTTAAGCTTTTTCCTACAATAGCCTCAATGAAGCAGAAACGCTTAATGTCAGATAACGTCCATAATAATTGGACTTTGGGTTCGATTTTTTGACCGTTTTCAGTGGTTATGAGGAGCAATATGAGAGAGAAATTTGGTAATCATTGTTTAGGTACATTAAACCACGTCATGTCATATTGTCAACATGGTACTTATGAAGCAGAATGGGTCATATGTCTAATGCTTTTTGAAAACTTAAGGCTTTCTTCTTCATAAAACGAGTCGGACATCATCACATTTTTGTATAAAATTTTATTTATTTACATTAGTAAGCTACAAGACATTGTCTTTCAAAACATGACCTGCGAAAGAGAAAAAAACCCGAATGCGTCATTGTACCCAGCACTTCTGAAAATGCACTTCCGAATGTGTCTCTGTCCCCAGCACATTTCAAACCAAACTGACACCCATGATTAATGATAATATTATTTAAATTAATAATAATATATGAATCTTATTTTAACTTTTTGTATATTGTCTAATGCTTAAACCTTTTCTCCAGAGTCTAGTACTTATTAGTGGGTTAGTGAACCAATTTAAATGAATCTTTTTATTGAACTGGTTCAAAAGAATCGATTTACTGAGATTACTCTCAGAAACCCTCCACCAATCGCAAACGCATATTATTTTGCTGCAGACTTGTATTGTAAATTACATTTGTTTGATGCAATATGAGATCTTTCTGCAACTATCTAATCTTTAAGTCTTTTGAAGAGTTAGTTGTTCCTTTAATTTACCTTTTTTTTGACATGCTTATTTAGTTTATTTACAATGTACAATTACACAACGGAGCACTTTTTACACCCCTATACCCATAATTAACTTAAAATAAAATAAATAATAGTGAAATGTATGATATTTTTACTGCTAAAAGGACAGCGTTATATGCAATTAATGTTGGATTCAGATATAACAACTGATGGCTTTGTACAAAATGATATTGGGGGTTTTATACAAAGTTGTTTTGTATTTAAAAAATGTGTCAGTCACCATCTTGTGGTTGCTTGCTTTGTCAAGTGAATGTTTTTAAAAACAATATTAAAAACATAATTCAGAATTCAAATTTAAATCACAATTAACTTAATAAAACCTGATGAGCTTTGATTGGCTGTTGGTCATCAGCAATCTTTTTTTTTTTTTTTAGGAAAGTCACAGGAAAAAGAAAATATGTATTTTAAATCAGGGAAATGTGTCTTGTCTTGACTCTTGTTCAAATATTGTACATAAATCGTGATGATGACAATCTTACCTGCATCGCCTGTGCCTCAGGAGGTTCATTTTCTAGAGGTGATTTCCTTTTGTAGATATCTTGGTTCACTTTTGTTGTTCCAGACCCTTGAGGATGCAAAAACATACAAAGCAAAATTATGCAAATGCATCAATATGTGGATGGTTTACATACTGGATTCTACGGTGGCCGAGAGAGCTCAACACGCTGCAACTGAAGAAAACACATGCAAATAGAAGAAAACACATGCAAATAGAAAAAACGCATGCAAATAGAAAAAAACACCTGCAAATAGAAAAAAACGCATGCAAATAGAAAAAACACCCGCAAATTAAGAAAACATCTTCATCAGTTTCACAACACACGTGTGGCTCCAAATACTCACAACACCACCAAATACAGAAACGCGCTGCAAATAACACAGAGCACAACGGAAATGTTTCCAGGGGAACCAAATAAGTGACGAACCGGCTGGGACGTGCTGGCATAGATATCCATAAATCTATGCGTGCTGGTACTGCTTACAGCTTAAAATTCTACTTTATTTATTTGTCCAAAACATACAGAGATTAATTTTTTTTTATGACATACAACTTGTATACAATGTACAAAATGTATTAACAATATGTTCAATGTCATCAGAATACAAATGAGAAAAGAACAATGAGCTGAAAACTAAAAATAAATAAATAAAAAAGATAAAGAAGAAAAACATGAAGGAAACATATCAGTTACACTGTACAAATTGTTTCAGGTTATGTTTACATTTTCATAAAGAAAATTTCATTGGGTAATGTAGGGTCCAAAATTTTTAAGTTGAGACACACAGATATAACGCATATTTTAAAAGCTTTTTTGTAAAGTAAAAATAAAAATGTATTTGGAACCGTTATGTTAAAGTAACAACAGATAGCTTTTGCTCTCGGGGTCCCCCTACAGTTGGGAAACAGTATTGTCCTCTACTACTGTCGTAAACTCTGTCATCCTACATGCACGTGCAATTGTTGACAACCATGATAGCCCTGAACACTGTAGGAGGAGGTCACATGCAGGTGTTCTGCTTGCATCGCGTGTGAAATGTCTTCATCCCAGGTACAGTGGCATATATTTCAGCATGTCATATGAATATAATTTCATGGGTTTTATTTTTTTTTCTAACGACAAATGATCGCGATGCTCACGTTTACAAGCCAGCGTCATTATAGTAGCCTAGTCTATTGGTTACCGTTTTACTGAATCTATATGATACTTCAATGCAATGTTTGAGTGGTTGATAATAACCATATATCGTCAATATTATAATATCAAGCTACCATAAATGAATCTGCAAATTTTACAAATCGATTTGCATTAGCTTGAGGCAAGACAAATAAACAAATATCACAGACATGTTAGGTATCCTAAAATATGATTTTATTAATAATCTTCCTCCTTTCTTTGTACATGTTGAGTAGACTACACTTTTTAGGTCAAACATTTGCTATTTGCATTTCATCGATTGCAAAGTTCAAATCAGAACGAGAATACTAGCGATAGCTAACCATCAAAAACTAGAATATCGTTTACTAGCTACCAGATTGATAATTCGCTACTACTCTAGCGAATTAGAGAGGTTAGAGAGAGGCATTCTTTTTTCGATGGGGGGTTCGATGCTCCCTGCACACGCAAGGTCTCTCGCTCGCTTTCTCTCTCGCGCGAGCAGAGAGGGGACACGTGCACGAGCTCGTGGGCGTGTTTATGTTCTCTGATATTAGAGCGGGCTGTGCCCGTTTCATGTGATGGGGCTCTGATAGAGACACGGGGTATGTTATGCTTGTGTGTATGGGTGAGCACATGATTGTGGGCACGTTTTCTACACAACTGGCAAATTTTCTCTTTTTGAGATTTCTCTGGGTAGCCGTAAAAACGGCTTTTTGTCGCTCGCAAGCGGGCTGGGACACCGGCTTGTTTGTGGCGGTCAACACTACAGCAGTCGGCGAAATAACGGGGACTGGCAGAGGGCGAAGCTTTGACGGCGGTCCGGCCGCAGCGGGAGAGCACCGTCGTTTTCTTGACTTTGCTAGGCAGACTTCTGATGATCAGGCTTCAGCGTGATCTTAGGTCGCGGGCCTCGTGGGGCGGCGGTCTGCGGCGGCTGTCAGAGCGAGAGCGAGGGCGGCCGCCCTGTCTGCGCTGGGCTGTTTGAGTCTGCGGAGGGGGGCGCTGTGGTGGAGCTCTGGCAGGAGGCTCGCGAGAGCGGCCCGCGGAAGAGCTAGCGCGGCGGGGCAGAAACAAATTCATCGCCTGAGTAGCTTTCTGGACCTTAGAAAAGCGATCGACGATTCCCGTGACAGCAGATCCAAAAAGGCCTGTTGGGGAGAGGGGCGCGTTAAGAAACGCGGCGCGCTCAGAATCTCCCATGTCGGCGAGCGTGAGCCATAAGTGTCTCTCGGCAACACAAAGGCTGGCCATGCATCTCCCCAGAGCTTGTGCGGCGGCTTTAGTGGCGCGAAGGGCGAGGTCCGTAGCACTTCTCAGATCCGTGACAGCGGGGGAGGGGTTTCTACCGCCTTCGGCCCACTCACGGAGAATATCGCTCTGTAAAACTTGGAGGACAGACATTGAATGTAGCGCTGCGGCGGCCTGACCGGCGGCGGCGTAGGCGCGAGCATGAAAGCTCGAGGTCGCTCTGCAAGTTTTCGAAGGAAGCGTGGGGGAAGAGCGCCATCTAGCAGAGGGCGGGCAGAGGTGTGCGGCGACCAAGTCCTCGACGGGCGGCATGGCTGAGTAGCCTTTCTCGGCGGCTCCGTCCACCGAGCGCAGCGAGGCAGATATATCAGAGCGGTTTCTAGCCGAGAGCGGGGCATTCCAGGACTTCGTCAGCTCTGCGTGAAGTTCAGGCAGGAATGGAGCGGCCCGGTTGCACGCGGTGGTCGAGCGCAGATGAAAAAAGCTGCCGTCCATCCGGTTCGGGGCCTGCTCGGGTGGAGGAGACCACTCGAGACCGAGGCGTTCGACGGCCTGTGAGAGGAGGCGCATTAGTTCCTCCTCTATCCCGGCGCGGATCCCCGCCGATTCTCTCGTGGATCCGAGAGATGACAGAAGCGAGCAGTGAACAGGAGTCCTTCTCCTCCGCGGCGTCATCGGAAGCGACAGAGCGGCCACTCGGCGGCAACTGTATGTCCGGCAGGGGCGGGGAGGGAGAGCGGGAAGCGGGAGGCGGCGGCCCGCATTGTTCCGCTGGGGGCTCCGGCGGCCTCTGGCAGCGGCGTTTTTTCTTACGCGGCGAAGAGGAAGGCGGCGCGGGAGCGGATTTTGCTGCCAGAAGTCGTGCCCGCAGGGACGACAACGGCAGGCTCTCACAGAAGTCGCATCCTCCATCCGCTAGGGCGAGTTCTGCGTGCTCGAGTCCCAGGCAGAGAGCGCAGATGACATGGCGGTCTCCGTCCTCGAGACGAGCGCGGCAAGAGCCGCAGGAAAAACGAGACATCTTTAAAAAGACGCTCGGCTCTTTTAGATATAATAGAGAAGGATACAGTCGTCGGATGGCGCTAGCTTGCAGGGCGGCTGAAGGTGGCGAAGACGGCCGGCTTCTTCAGGGTCCGGGAGCTCGCTAGAGTGATGCCTTCTCGACGGCGACGGCTTCTCTCAGGACAGCAGAAGCGTGCAGCTTGCTGAAGATGAAATGAATCAACATATAAGCCTGGGAGAGACTGTTATATACACCATAGCCACGCCCATTCTGGCGGGCCATGACGCAATGAGCGCGCGGGCGCCTCTCATTGGAAGCGGGTTCAGCCCCGCTCTCCCATAGGCTTAAGCAGTTCTCTCTGAGCGAACCAATGAGCTGCTAGCTAGCCTGCTCTAGGTCTGCCGCAGAGGAACTGCGTTGTGTATGGATACAAATTATGAAATAATTTTTGGCTTCAATATCTCAGCAAAGATGAATCTTTCCCGCAGCGTAAGCTAGCTTACGCAATACGAGAGAACCTCTCGTAAGAGAAGCCGTTATTTTTTTAAGTTTTTGTCATCATTTCTGAACAAGCTTGCAATTAGGCAATATACACATCAAGCTTAATTTGACGGGGTTTGGCTGTAAACGCGATTCATTTATGGCGTAATTCTGAACCTCTTGGCTTGCCATACTAATCCTAACCAACCGTATAATAGGCTACACCGGGCTACACGCACACCACACCACTATTAAACCTACCCATGCGTGTCCTATGCACGTAAAAACTAATTTCCGCGTATAAATTGCACGATAAACACACTGCGTGCTATAGAGATGCATTTAGTGTGACCGGGTTGATATGGCAACCAAACTTCACTGGTGAGACAAACGTGCGACGAACGGACGGTCAGGATGATGTTTTGGCAGGGGAAAACTGATCAGAAAATGAAACGAAAATGTAACAGAACGTTGTAGAAATGTAGTGGAGTAGAAAGTATAATAATTGCTGCAAAATGTAACGAAGTAAAAGTAATAAGTATGCACTATTGATTCTACTTAAGTAAAGTAAAGATATGTGAAAAATTTACTTAAGTAAAGTAACGAAGTATTTGTACTTCGTTACATTCCACCACTGGGTACTACTATGATGTCATTCACCGATCGGTCTGTGCAGCGTTCAAGTTGAACAAGCCTTAAATGAAAACCAACACGTAGCCTACAGTGCAGAGGCGTGGGTCCGACACAGAAGTATAAGGGGGCTTTCACACTGGCAGGTTTAGTTCGGAATGGGGCACGTTTCGCATGAAAAATCGCTAATGTGAACGCTGTCATGGGACCTGGGTGCGCACTGGGGTACCGAACCCGAGACTACCGGGGGGAGGTGGTCTGAGTTCGGTTGCTCCCGAACCGTGCCGCGGTTTGCGTGAATGTGAAAGCAGCACGGACTCGGGTGCGCATTTGTTCAGGAAGTAAAGTAACCTGCACATGCGTTTTAGCTGATTATGATGTATTCAGTTAAATAAAACACTTGTAAGGGATGATAGTGTTGATGATTTACCTTGGATACGAGCGAGAGTGAGCCTGGAGTGTATTCGAGCATTGTGCGTGGAATCAGGGCACCAAATTTGGAAATCCACTGTCTCCTCAAAAGAGTCCGTTTGCAAGCAGCAGAAGGCCACCTTATGTGACACACGCACAGTAAACCTGTATTGTTCACTCAACTGCACATAATAGCAGGGAATTAATAAAAAACACAATATTGACCCGCGTTCTGTTTTCTATCATGCGCCGTGCACGTTTGCGATGACGTAATATGCACGCAAACGCACCAGGGTTCGATAGAATAAAGTTGAGTGTGAAACCAGACCAACGCTGCGGGGGGCGCCGGGAACAAACACGCTCGAGCTCGGACCACAGCAAACGAGCCCAGTGTAAAAGCCCCCTAAATCAGCCTTTAAGCACAAGCATGTTTCAATAACAACAAGATAGCCTTAGAGCAAGCATATTTCCAATACACTATAGCTTTAAGAACTCCGTGTTTCCAAGACTAGATAGACCAAGCATGTCTGATAACACTGAACTGACTCAACTGAATAGTAGTGACTGTTTACAATGTCTTTTTAGAGCTGTGCCACAGCAGAAATTATTCTGTCCTGTGTTTCCCCCTGCTTAGTGTTTTTGGTTCAGTACTGTGTCCCAGTTTTCCCGTTCTCGTTTATGTAAGGTGTGTGTGGTGTTATCCTGTCTGTACCTGTTCAGAAAGTTATTGGAAGTAAAGTTTGTATTGAAACCTTGCCTCACCACCTTCTTCTGCCAACACCACACCCGTAACACATGAATTGTAATTATCTAACTATGGAATAACTTGGAATCTCTGAAACCGGAAAGACAACTAAATAGTCTTTATAGATATTTATAAAACGATTAGTTCCAATCCTTGATTCTGATTCGTCAATAGCTGTGCTATATTCAAGATAAAACACTGCTATGACCGCTTCACCCAACGGTTCTATTTATCACTGCGCAACACCCTTAGCAACCACAGAAATAAGCACGTGGTAGCACTTCACTCTCTCTAGGATAGGGGAATCATGTATAAGCACAAAGCTCTGGCATCATATGCTGCTTTTTACATTTTTGTAAAAACGTTACATTTAGCCTACTGAACGAGTCTATTTCTTTCGTTCTCCATAAATTAATGAGAACATATCATTTAATTGAAAGGAGGGTCTTTATTTACTTATTTAGTTGGAATTCAGTCAGCTTAACTGTTGATGTAATAAAATAATGAATGAACAAAACAAACAATATACAATTATTTCTTAACTTGCCTGTGACGTATGCAGTGGACAAATTATTATTTTGGACAGACAAATGAAACCCTCCTCTCAATTAAATGAAATGTTCTCATTAATTTATGGAGAACGAAAGAAATAGACCCGTTCAGTGTAGACATTCACTAATTTAGTAATTTTGCACGCGTCCGATGTAGAGAACATGTAAAAAGCAACATATGATGGCAGAGCTTTCAGCTTATACATTCCCCTATCCTAGAGAGAGTGAAGTGCTACTAAGTGCTTATTTCTGTCTAGATATGTAATAAACATTTTGCAAAAGAAAACCTCAAAAAGGTTAATTATAGATAAAGTAAGAGAGAAACACATGAAGGAGGAGAAAATGGCGGCGTGAAGTTAACAGTGTGAGTGAATCAGTCCGTGAACAATTGTCCTTAAATATGTAATTTAAAGTGCATCTCGTTTAACACTATATAATTTATAGTCGAAAGCACTTTTTGATCATTTAGGGGTCTGTTTTGTTACTTATTTTGCTTTTGGGATGTTCGTTGTCGTGACTTAGGCCTATCCTTTTATTTAGATTTTCGTTAGTTAGGCCTAACACATTCGAGTGGTCGAACCGTTGGAAGAATTTTTGAGCTATGACAAAAGATAAAAAAACGCAAATCTAAGACGATGGATTCATCTTTAGATCTCGGTGCAAGTGTTACTGTGGACTTCGACTCATTTTTTGGTTCAGTCGTTTTTTAATTTAAAAAAGTGTTATGATAGCTGATCGGACAATGGGTGGTTTTGACTTATTGGACTTTTCCACTCTTAATAATTCTTTCAAGATTAAGTGGATAAAATCTTTTTTGAACAACCCTTTATCTTTTTGGAATATTATCCCAAATTATATTTTCAGTTCAGTTGGAGATTTGCATTTTTTGTTGCGCTGCAACTATGACATCTCTAAAATACCTTTAACTCTATCTAGTTTTCATTAACAGGCATTAATATGCTGGTCCCTAATATATAATATTAATTTTTCTCCACATAGCTATTTTATTTGGAACAACCAAAATATTAAATATAAAAAAATAAATCTTTTTTTTTAATCGGTTTGATAAAAATATACTTTTAGTGAGTCAACTTTTGGATGAAAGGGGTGTCTTGCTCTCTTATGAACACTTTATGCAAGAATTCTCTTTTGTCCCCCCAAGAGAATATGCCATGGTTTTTGGAGCAATTCCTGATTGTGTCAAACCTTTAGTTACACCTTGCCCTAAAGGTCCTTTATGCTGACCACCTATTTTTGACAACACTAATCTATTTGTTGATCGATGTCATCTCAGCAGCTTGTCAAACAAGAAAATTTCCTCAATTCTTAACAGAGATCATATTTCTTTACCTGCTTGTGTAAGGAATAATGGAATAATACTTTTGGAATAATACATTTGATGATATAGTATGGGAGAACTTCTGGCTCCTTCAGCAAAAATTATTTTTATCTAATAAAGTGGTTGAAGTCTCTATTAAAATTATTCACAATTGCTACCCAGTTAATTATAAATTTGCTAAATTTAATAATAGTATTTCCCCCTTGTGCTCCTTTTGTCATCAGTTTGATGAGACAATTATTCATTTGTTTTGGGAATGTGTGTATTGCAAAATCTTTTGGGTTGACTTCTCAAATTTTGTTAAAAGGTATCTATCTTTAAACTTCTGTATAAGCCAACATTTTTTTTGTTTTTTGGTGACTCTGAAATTAGACCCCTTTCATTTTAAATTTGTTCTTAACTTACTACTTTTTCTTGCCAAATTTTAGATTCACAAGTGTAAATTTTCAAAGAAAACTCCTTTTTTCATTTTTAAGAAAGATTTTGATATGTATCTAAATTCTTTGAAAAACTCTAAAAACTCCACTGCATGTAAGACTCTGAAATGGTGTCAATCATTTAAGCTAGTTTAATGTTATTTATGTTTATGTAAACCCTTTGTATTGTGTATAGTTTATTATTGTCCTAATTTGTTTTTGTTATTACTGCATAATAAAAGAAAAAAAAAAAAGAAAAAAAAAGAGAGAAACACACCTGTTCACCGGTCATTTTCCTCAGCTATAGGCAAAGGCAAGCACGCGTTTCAAATCAGTGCTTCTCCCGGGAGACTAGTGCTAAATGAATCCCCTAGCTTAGCCCCATCTACTGTTTTAGAAGAGGAAGTTGCTCAACTGCATTTGTGAGAAAATCGAGCCGAGAGATTTCATAAAAAGCCAAATGTCTCACAATCATAACAGACAGATATGCATTTGTATGCACTATTTGGTATTTGTTCAAAGGTTACATGCAATTTGTAGGATGGTTTGTATTTATTTGTGAAATATTATCTAGGCTCATTTATTTATATTTGCAAAACACAATGCATATGTATTACTCCACAGCATTTTCGCTCAAATTGACCTTTGTACTTGCACACTGCTTTCTGTTTGTTTGCGAGTCGAGTTTTCCTTTGCAAAGCAGATCGAGTTGGTTTGCGAGTCGAGTTTTCCTTTGCAAAGCAGATCGAGTTTGTTTGCAAAATGGTGGATTTGTTTGTTTAATTATGGCACAATAGTAACTCCATACACTACACCTTACTTACATAGCCTCATCCAGTAATTAATGTATGGATCTGACATTTTATGATTGGCTGTTGGAACAAATAAATTACATTCCTCCTAGTTTCTTGCTTTCAAACTGTTTCTAAATTATCTGGCATCCTGACATGGATCTTAGGACTTGAACTCCATTACATAAATAAATCACTTAGACTTAGAGTATGAGAAAATTAATGTTTAAGAAAAACTGAAAATCATAAAAAAACCCAGTTAAAAATTAAATAAATTAATCCAGCCTAAATAATAAAATAAAGGTGACTCACCAGTAGGCAATTTTTTTTCTTTTGCATCCACATGATATGCTCCCAAGGATATGAAAACATATAATAAAATACATATAATGAGTAGATAAAATGAATATAGCATAGTCTTGTGGTGGTTAAAAGCCCTCACAACAAACATTTTGCTAGACACTGAGTCTGGTATGATGCACAGCATGTATTATGCTACTTCCATTGTTAGTCACACACAAAAAACCGGTTTAACAAGATATGTGTAATGTTGTGTGATGAAGTTTAGTTAAATGTACGTTCGGCACATATAAAATGTCCTAGCTGAATGACTTAGGGTGAAAATCACATGATATGCACATCTCTTGTCCTTTAAGAATTCCCATTTCTTGTTCCCATCTTTAAAAGCTTGTCATTGAATAAACATATGCTAGTAAACTAAATATAGTTTATATAATATAATATAACTAAAAACTAGTTTTGAAATATGTGGCAAAGCAAATAAAATACAAAAACTATTACCGGTACTTCTGAAAACGTTTTTTATTTTATTTATCTTCCCAGAAAAGTTATAATTTTGAAAATGTTGTGGAAAAGAAAATAAACAAAAAAAAATTTCATTTAGCAAGAAAACTGACAATTTTTTTTTACAAATGAGAAATAAAAGCACAATGTGACATATATGTAACATAACAAATTTACCATAAACGCCCAATGTGACATTACAGATCTTTGACAAGGAGTGGTTGTATTTAAAAAAACAACGGCAGAAAGATGTTTTAAGTGGTCCATTTAGTCTGTTTTATAATAATAATTAATAATAATTCATTACATTTATATAGCGCTTTTCTAGGCACTCAATGCGCTTCACATGGAAGGGGGAATCTCCTCAACCACCACCAATGTGCAGCATCCACTTCGATGATGCGACGGCAGCCATAGTGCGCCAGAACGCCCACCACACCAGCTTATTGGTGGAGAGGAGACAGAGTGATGAAGCCAATCAGTGTATATATATATATGGGGATGATTAGGAGGCCATGATGGACAGAGGCCACTTGGCAAATTTGGCCAGGATGCCGGGGTTACACCCCTACTCTTTCGAAAGACATCCTGGGATTTTTAATGACCACAGAGAGTCAAGACCTCGGTTTAACGTCTCATCCGAAGGACGGTGCTCTTTTATAGTATAGAGTCCCCGTCACTATACTGGGGCGTTAGGACCCACACAGACCACAGGGTGAGCGCCCCCTGCTGGCCTCACTAACACCTCTTGCAGCAGCAACCTGGTTTTCTCAGGAGGTCTCCCATCCAGGTACTAACCAGGCTCAGCCCTGCTTAGCTTCAGTGGGCAACCAGTCTTGGGCTAAAAGGGTGATATGGCTGCGGTGATATTTATATGCCCCATAATTTTCCTATAAGGGGAAATTGGTCCGGGTTCTTATGGGTTAAAAATAACTAGCGGCTGAACACATCCCCAATAATAATCTATATCAAAACAATCGGAATGCTTAAAAATAGTCTCGGGAAACGTCTCGGTTACATATAGTAACCCTCGTTCCCTGAGGGAGGGAACGGAGGCGTACGTCATGACCGACTGATAGGAATCTCGCTAGAGAGGAAACTAAACAAGCCATTAGACATTGGCGTGCAATCATTTGCATCAGCTGTGCAGCCTCGCAGCGCGGGTATATAACAAGCAGCTGGTGTGATTGCACTTCAGTTTTTTTCTGAGTAGCCAAGCCTGAAAAAGCTGGCCACCCCGGCGGGCAGCAGCTGATGTGGCGACGGGACGTACGTCTCCGTTCCCTCCCTCAGGGAACGAGGGTTACCATATGTAACCGAGACGTTCCCTTATGGGTCGGTCACTATGACGTACGTCGTGACCGACTGACAGGAATCCCTACCAAAGAGCCACAGCTGCTCTACACCTTCTTGCCTGGAAGGACAATAGGAGAGAGCTTTCTCAGAGTGTATCTGTCACTGTTGTTCCGTAATAACCCATACAGTGAGATTATTGGATAACACTGGGAAAGCGTGCCCGATCTGAGGGAGGGGAACGCTGCGGAATCCACTTCCTTCAAAGAGTTATGTGGGGAATACATATGGACTAGCCCGAAGGTTGTACTACATATGAGATAGTGGGTGACTTAGCCCAAGGGAAAGACACGGGCTTCTGTTAGGAGCAGCTGTGGAGAAATATACACATATGGGATCCCCGTAGGGTCACACATATGGAACCCAGCCAAGATCCGGTTCTCATGGATTCAGCATAAAGGCCTGGCGCCGGACGCTCCGCCATGTCTGGGCCGAGGGTGTTTGGAGGACTCAACAGGTTTTTCACTCTGGAGCAATAAGGGTGCACAGTAGGGTGCAGCAAGCTGACAGAGTGGGGCCTCTCGGTGTTTCTACCCGTCTGGGGTGAGAACTCGGGAGGAGACCGGCTCTACACGTAGGCTATAGTATCTAGCGAACATGTTAGGTGTCGCCCAGCCCGCAGCTCTACAGATATCTGTTAGCGAGGAGCCACGTGCCAGCGCCCAGGAGGATGCAACGCCTCTCGGGGAGTGTGCATGCAAATGCAACGCCTCTTGGGGAGTGTGCATGCAACCTGAGTTAGCAGGAAACGCCTTGTGCTTGGTAAGCCAAGGCGATGGCATCCATTATCCAGTGGGCCATCCTCTACTTGGAGACAGCCTTTCCCTTCTGCTGGCCTCCGTAACAGACAAAGAGCTGGTCTGAGGTCCTGACGTTTTGAGTTCTGTCCACATACATACGCAAACGGGACAGAGCAAAGCCAGGGCTGGGTCTGCCTCCTCCAGGGGCAGCGCTTGCAAGTTCACTACCTGGTCCCTGAAGGGAGTGGTAGGAACTTTGGGCACATAGCCAGGCCGTGGTCTCAGTACTACGCAGTTGTCACCAGGCCCGAACTCTAGACACGATTCGTCGACCGAAAATGCCTGCAGGTCCCCTATCCTCTTGACAGAGGACAGTGCGACCAGCAACCAAGTCTTCATGGAAAGAAGCTTTAAGTCTGCTGATTGCAAGTGCTCAAAGGGAGCATCCTGAAGTGCTCGAAGCACCAAGGAAAGGTCCCAAGAGGGTATGGAGGGGGGTCGAGGAGTATTTCATCGTCTCGTCCCCCTAAAGAACCTGACGACCAGGTCGTGCTTTCCAACTGTTTTGCCATCTATGTGGTCGTGATAAGCTGAAATAGCGGCAGCATGTACTTAAACAGCTGGCAGTGGGAGATCTCTGAGGAGGCAAACAGGTCTTCCTGAGCCTCCCTGAACTCTCTCCAGATCATGGCTCGAAGCGACCTCAGATGCTACTGACTCCAGAGGAGGAGATGGCGGGCGAGTTGCGACATGTGACGGGAGCTTAGACCACCTTGTCGGTTGATGTATGCAACGGTCGCAGTTTTGTCCGTACAGACCAGCACGTCCCTGCCCTGTAGCGGCCTTTTCAAGCAGCTCAGAGCAAGACATACTGCTAGCAACTCGAGGCAATTGATGTGCCAATGAATTTGGGGGTCTGTCCACACCCCTGACACTACATGCCCATTGTACGTGGCATCGTTACTGTTGGTTACCCAGTTCGTGCTTAGTGTTTTTGGTTCAGTACTGTGTCCCAGTTTTCCCGTTCTCGTTTATGTAAGGTGTGTGTGGTGTTATCCTGTCTGTACCTGTTCAGAAAGTTATTGGAAGTAGTTGGTATTGAAACCTTGCCTCACCACCTTCTTCTGCCAACACCACACCCGTAACACATGAATTGTAATTATCTAACTATGGAATAACTTGGAATCTCTGAAACCGGAAAGACAACTAAATAGTCTTTATAGATATTTATAAAACGATTAGTTCCAATCCTTGATTCTGATTCGTCAATAGCTGTGCTATATTCAAGATAAAACACTGCTATGACCGCTTCACCCAACGGTTCTATTTATCACTGCGCAACACCCTTAGCAACCACAGAAATAAGCACGTGGTAGCACTTCACTCTCTCTAGGATAGGGGAATCATGTATAAGCACAAAGCTCTGCCATCATATGCTGCTTTTTACATTTTTGTAAAAACGTTACATTTAGCCTACTGAACGAGTCTATTTCTTTCGTTCTCCATAAATTAATGAGAACATATCATTTAATTGAAAGGAGGGTCTTAATTTACTTATTTAGTTGGAATTCAGTCAGCTTAACTGTTGATGTAATAAAATAATGAATGAACAAAACAAACAATATACAATTATTTCTTAACTTGCCTGTGACGTATGCAGTGGCCAAATTATTATTTTGGACAGACAAATGAAACCCTCCTCTCAATTAAATGAAATGTTCTCATTAATTTATGGAGAACGAAAGAAATAGACCCGTTCAGTGTAGACATTCACTAATTTAGTAATTTTGCACGCGTCCGATGTAGAGAACATGTAAAAAGCAACATATGATGGCAGAGCTTTCAGCTTATACATTCCCCTATCCTAGAGAGAGTGAAGTGCTACTAAGTGCTTATTTCTGTCTAGATATGTAATAAACATTTTGCAAAAGAAAACCTCAAAAAGGTTAATTATAGATAAAGTAAGAGAGAAACACATGAAGGAGGAGAAAATGGCGGCGTGAAGTTAACAGTGTGAGTGAATCAGTCCGTGAACAATTGTCCTTAAATATGTAATTTAAAGTGCATCTCGTTTAACACTATATAATTTATAGTCGAAAGCACTTTTTGATCATTTAGGGGTCTGTTTTGTTACTTATTTTGCTTTTGGGATGTTCGTTGTCGTGACTTAGGCCTATCCTTTTATTTAGATTTTCGTTAGTTAGGCCTAACACATTCGAGTGGTCGAACCGTTGGAAGAATTTTTGAGCTATGACAAAAGATAAAAAAACGCAAATCTAAGACGATGGATTCATCTTTAGATCTCGGTGCAAGTGTTACTGTGGACTTCGACTCATTTTTTGGTTCAGTCGTTTTTTAATTTAAAAAAGTGTTATGATAGCTGATCGGACAATGGGTGGTTTTGACTTATTGGACTTTTCCACTCTTAATAATTCTTTCAAGATTAAGTGGATAAAATCTTTTTTGAACAACCCTTTATCTTTTTGGAATATTATCCCAAATTATATTTTCAGTTCAGTTGGAGATTTGCATTTTTTGTTGCGCTGCAACTATGACATCTCTAAAATACCTTTAACTCTATCTAGTTTTCATTAACAGGCTTTAATATGCTGGTCCCTA